TTTGGGCGGGGTTTTCGCTATAGGGCGCGTACGCTCGCCAGACAGACAGAGAGAGACATAGAGACAGAAAGCGAGAAATCACCCCCCAGGGGGGATGGTCACGCCGCAATCCCTTCTCCTCCATTTTCCTCTCGGGATCCTGGGCATGCACGCACACGCACCCAGCGTGAGTTCTAAGCCACCGGGTCCTGGATGCGAACCGTGGTCGACTATGTGGGAGTCCAGAGACATAGCCATTACACTAACTGCTGGTTCCCCCCTATCTTCTCAATTATGCTTCATCCTATTGGGTATCCCTTGGCACCCCTACTTAGTACAATCACTACAGCATGCAACAGAGACCATAAAACAAGAAGAAAATTATGACATTAATTATAATTAATGTTTACCTCATTATTTCTGCAGATTATAAAAAAGTATCAGACAGTTTTTATTTTAAAATCCTATAAGATACAGGAAAAAGGGCAAGAGAAATACTAAGTTTGCTTCTATCCTTTCCCTCCCTTTTGTCTATTAAAATTTGACCTTTACAATTTCCTTTTCTTTTTTTTTTAAAGACTTATTTAACTTTATTTATTTTAATTTGACCAGAGAGGGATAGAATGAGCGAGAGAGCGTGAGAAAGAGAGAGAGAGAGAGCAAGCCACCAGATCTGGGACTTGAACCGTGGTCACCCATGTAGGAGTTCAGCACCCTTAACCACCATGCCACCTGCCGGCCCCCAATTTCCTTTTAATTTTTAAAATTTATTTATTTTATCTTTTTAAAGTTTACAATAGGGCACATCTGCTCACCAGAAAGAGACAGGGAGAGGGAGAGAGAAAGAGAGAGAAAGAGAGAGAAGGGAGCGCACGTGCCAGTCACCAAGTCTGAGACTTGAACCACAGTTGGCCATATGGGAGTCCAATGCTTTAACCACCATACCACCTGCTGGTCCCACAATATTTTTTTCTTAAAAAATAATGTTTTAAAAGATTTTTTTCTTTTACTCATGAAGTACATGCTTACGTACATGAAAGAGAGAAGGGAGCACCTTCCACAGGGTCTGGTCATACCATGATCCCCTTCCTCCATTCCTCCAGGCTGGCAGATCGTGGGCATGTGTGGGCACCGGGTGTGTTTTTCAGGCCAACCAGGCTGAGGACTCAAACCACAGCTGCCATGTGGGATCTTGGCTTCTGTTGAGCAGTGTACTACTGCTGTGCCACAGAGCTAGTCCTACCATCTTTTCATAAAATACATTAAACATTTCCCCCCATTCATTACATGGACTGTTTCAGTACTTAGAATGCATGTATGCCCAAAATCCCGAGAAGAAAATGGAGGACAGGGAACTGCGGCATAGCCACCCTCCCGGGGGAGAGTGATTTCTTACTTTTCCCCTTCCTCTGTTTCTCTCTGCTGAAGCTTGTGCCTTATAACAAGAAAAACAAACTAAAAAAAAAAAAAAAAAAGTTTTTCCAGAAGATAATTATTTTTCGCACTCCCCACCCCCCCCAAAATGCCATTTTCATAAGTCTACCACATCCTACTGAAAAGAGTTCTAGGCCTCAAAGAACACTGCACCATATTACAAGTAAAGCAGATAGACAAGAGGGCAGATAAGCAATTAGGCCATGAAAAACAGGCAGCATAAAATAGTTATTATGAGTCTGCATGAGATGCATTTACTCAATTAAGTAGATGAAAATGTTATTATGAACTCAGTATTCCAATGATGGTCTTTAAAATTAAGAAGGATAGGGGCAAATGAAATGTACACTGGGGGATTTGGGGCCTTTATGTATTAATTCTAAAATATACAATGCAGAACACTGTAATGAAGTTAACAAAATTAATTAAAAGATTCTTTGCGTGTAACCAGTAGGCTACATTAAAGCATACATGACAGTTTCTGATACTGTTAACAGTGAATGTGACATGTTTAATATTGCTACCACCGCCTTTTCTAAATATACCACTGTTATAAAAAACATTACAGATTAGTCTATAATTTTTATTTATCTTTTTATTGTCAGGGGCATGTGCACTCAACAGAGAGAAAGAGCAAGAGTGAGAGCGAGAGCGAGAGAGAGAGAGAGAGAGAGAGAGAGAGAGAGAGAGAGAGATGGAGAGAGGTGGAGAGAGAAAGCACCCCTCAGGAGGGTTGGTCACACCACAATCCTTTTTCCTCCATTTTTCTATCCCATCAGGATTTTGAGCACACATATACATATATATGCACCTGGTGTATCTTTCAAGCTGCAGGGGCAGGACTGGAACTGCAGTCAGTCATGCATGATCTGGTTCCCCATGCACGGGGCTTAACCATCACACTGTGTGTTTGGCCCAAGATTTTCTTTTTATTTTTTTCTTTACTTTTCATTATTTTAAATCCTTGAGGAGTACAGCATCACACAGATTCTGTATCCAATGGCCTTAGAAGGAATTTGGCTCGAACCCTGCCACTGTTTCCATGGGCATGAGTAAACTTTCCCCAGATTACTCTGGTTATATTTAGTTCACCACTAGGAGTCACTGTGGTGTTTTTGCTTCGTACACATAAACACACCCCTTGTCCAAACAGAATTCCATTTCATCTCGGGCATAAATCCTTTTAGTTTTAAGAAGAGCTGTGTGCACCCTTTGGTTCCTGAGACCCTGCTCATAGCCAGCAAAATGGCCTTGGACCACAGCCTTCCATATATAGTTGCCTTTTAGAAGTCCTGTTCCCAACAGGCCTAAGTTATTATTTTTTAAAAAGAATTATTATTTATTTAATTTTATTTATCATTATTATTTCTTAATTTGACCGGAGAGAGGAGGGGGGAAATGTGAGAAAACAAGCCTCCAGGTCTGGGACTCCAACTGTGGTTGGCCATGTGGGAGTCCAGAGCCCCAATCACTACACCACCTGCTGGTCTCCAGGCCTCTGTTTTTGTCCCCAAAGTTCAGGAGCAGGATCCTTACTCCAAGAATTGTTTTTAATATGCTTTCTGGTGTTTACTTATTTAAGTTTCAAAAACTGATAAACAAACAAACAAACAACCCCCCCCCCCAAAAAAAACCC